AAGTCCTAGTCACTACACGAACTCGTGGCAATTGAACAACACACTCCTAAACAATGAGTGGGTCAAAGGAGAAATTAAGAAAGAAATAAAAGAATTCCTGGAATTTGACAAAAAGAACAATACAACACAACAGAACCTCTGGGACACATTAAGAGCAGTCCTAAGAGGGAAGTTTATAGCTGTAAGTGTCTACATTAAAAAATTAGAAAGAGCCCAAATAAATGACCTAATACTACAACTCAAGGCACTGGAAAGGGAAGAACAAATGAAACCCAAACCCAGAAGAAGAGAAGAAATAACAAAAATCAGGGCAGAAATTAATGAAAGAGAAACCAAGAAAACAATACAAAGAATCAATGAATCTAAGAGGTGGTTCTTTGAAAAAATGAACAAGATAGACCATTAGCCCAGTTAACCAAAAGAAAAAAAGAGCAAATCCAAATGAACAAAATCAGAGATGAAAGGGGAAACATCACAACAGACACCCAAAAGATCCAGACCATTATAAGGGAATATTTTAAAAACCTATACGCCACTAACTCCGAAAGTCTAACAGAAATAGATGGATATCTGAAATCATGGGAACCTCCAAACTTAAACCAAGAATAGATCAATAGTTTAAACAGACCCATATCACATAAGGAAATTGAAATAGCAATACAAAGCCTCCCAACTAAAAAAAGCCCTGGCCCACATGAATTTACAGCAGAATTCTACCAGACACTTAAAGAAGACTTCCAACCAATACCACTTAAATTATTCAAAATGATAAAAACAGAAGGAGGACTCCCAAATTGCTTCTATGAAGCCACCATCACTCTAATACCCAAACTGGGTAAAAACACAACCAAAAAAGAAAACTATAGACCCACATCCTTAATGAACATAGATGTAAAAATTCTCAACAAAATACTTACGAACCTCATACAGACACACATCAAAAAGATCATTCACCATGATCAAGTAGGCTTTATCCCAGAAATGCAGGGATGGTTCAATATGTACAAGTCAATAAACATCATTAATCATATAAATGGACTCAAAGACAAAAATCACATTGTCATCTCAATAGATGCAGAAAAGGCTTTTGACAAAATTCAGCATGCATTTATGTTCAAAGTCCTAGAGGGAATTGGACTGGAGGGAACATACCTCAACATAATTAAAGCTATATACAACAAACCCACAACCAACATCATTCTAAATGGAGAAAAACTGGAAGCATTCCCATTGACATCAGGAACCAGAAAAGGATATCCACTGTCTCCACTCCTTTTCAACATAGTGCTTGAAATTCTTGCTAGAGCAATAAGACAGGAGAAGGAAATTAAAGGAGTACTAATTGGAAAAGAGGAGGTCAAACTATTACTTTTTGCAGATGATATGATACTATACCTAAGAGATCCCAAAAGTTCCATCACAAAACTCCTAGAACTGATCAACATTTTCAGTTTGGTGGCAGGTTATAAAATCAATCTACAAAAATCAGTAGCCTTTCTATATACCAATAACAAGCAATTGGAGAAAGAATTCAGGGAAATGTTCCCATTCACAACTGCTGCAAAAAAAAAAAAAAGATAAAACATCTTGCAATAAATCTGACCAAAGACACCAAATATCTCTAAAATGAAAATTTTAAATCATTAAATACAGAAATTGAGAAAGACACCAGGAGATGGAAGGACCTCCCATGCTCATGGATTGGAAGAATTAATATCATGAAAATGACCATCCTACCAAAAGCAATATATAGATTCAATGCAATTCCAATCAAAATCCTGATGACATACTTCACAGAATTAGCAAAAAACCATCCTTAAATTTGTATGGAAGCACAAAAGACCCCTGATGGCCAAAGCAACCCTGAGCACAAAGAGCAATGCTGGGGGGATTACTATACCAGATCTCAAAGTATGCTACAGAACCACAGTCATAAAAACAGCATGGTATTCACACAAAAATAGGCACATAGATCAATGGAACATCATTGAAGCTCCATACCCGAGTACACACAGTTTCAGCCACCTGATATTTGACAAAGGTGCCAAGAACACACAATGGAGGAAAGACAGCATCTTCAACAAATGGTGCTGGCAAAACTGGATCTCCACCTGCAGAAGAATGAAATTAGATCCTTATCTTTCACCTTGAACAAAATTCAACTCCAAATGGATCAAAGATCTCAATGTGAAACTGGAAACCCTGAAACTATTAGAAGAAAATATTGGCAGTAACTTACAAGATATAGGTGTAGGAAAGGATTTCCTAAATCAGACAGAAGTTGCTCAGGAATTAAGGTCAGCAATCAATGAGTGCAACCTCATTAAACTAAAAAGCTTCTGTACAGCAAAAGAAACAATCAAAAAAGTGAAGAGAAAACCCACAGAGTGGGAAAAATTCTTCACCAGTAACACATCTGACAGAGGTATATCATCCAGAATATATAAAGAACTCAAAAAACAAAGAATCGAGAAACCAAATGACCCAATTAAAAGATGGGCTAAAGACCTAATCAGAGGGTTCTCAAATGAAGAAATAAAGATGGCTAAGAAACATCTCAAAAAGTTTTCAACATCATTAGTAACCAGGGAAATGCAAACTAAAACCACCATAAGTATCACCTTACTCCAGTCAGACTGGCTAGGATCAAGAGAACAAATGACAGCAAATGCTGGAGAGGATGTGGAGAAAGGGGAACACTCATTTATTGCTGATGGGATTGCAAACTCACGCAACCCCTATGGAAAACAGTGTGGAGAACTCTTAAAAAACTAAAAATGAACCTACCATATGACCCAGTTATACCACTCCTTAGCATAGACCCAAAGGGCTCATCCTATTGTAGAGACACTGGTACAACCATGCTTGTTGCTGCTCATTTCACAATAGCTAACAGATGGAAGCAACCTAAGTGTCCCTCAACTGATGAGTGGTTAACAAAAATGTGGTATATTAACACAATGGAGTTCTATTGAGCAGTAAAGATGAAATAACGAAATTTACAGGTAAATGGATGGATCTAGAAACTGTTATACTAAGTGAAGTAACACAGACTCAGAAAAACAAACGACGTATGTTCTCCCCCATATGTGGCTCCTAGCACCAAACCCTTTTCAATTCCAGGTTTTTTAATAAGATAATGCTATATAGCCGTCTCTTCTGCATGAAATAACTACCATCATCAGGACTTCCACTGAGCCTGATCACTAAAAATAGTCACAATTGGGCTTGTTGATGGTTGCACTCATTCTTTAAAGAACTGCCATGCAGGGTTGCTGGACCCTCACCTGAGTATCCGGGCACTCTTCCCAGCCAACTAGTCCAGCCTTGAAAGACAAAAGAAAAATGAGGAAGAACCCAATAGAGGGATGCTTTTGAAAGCCCTTATCAAGAAACTCCAATGGACTCTCATATGAACATTTGAAAATTGCCCTGTTCTGACTTTTTTCTACTTCCCTGTCTAGGGAAGTAGAAAATTACTTTTTCTACTAATTACTCTTGCCTTTACTTCTTCACATTTCTTATTCATGATTTAAGGACTTTCTTCTCCCCCTAGAGACAAGAGTTAGGCAATTTGGGAGTCTTTTATATAGACCCACTGTGATAGCTAATCCTGGGTGTCAACTTGACTGGATCTGGGATTAACTGAAATGAGAGATATCTTCTTGATTGGATCATCTGAAGCTGGAAGACACACCCTAAATGTGGGTGTTACCGTCTGGCGGCAGCCCATATAAAAGGCCATGGCAGAGGAGAACGCCAGGCTTCTTGGGGCTTGCCTTCTCTCTTGCTGGTGAGTTTCATCTTGCTGCTGTAGACTGAAGACTAGCTGATCTTTTGGAATTTGTCAGACCTTCAGCACCAGATTGTGACTACTGAGACATCCAGCCTCATGGACTGAGTGACTACGGATTCTCAGCCTCTCCAGTGTAGTGCAGCCATTGTTGGACTATTTGGACTCTATCCTGTGAGCTAAGCTGATAAATTTATAT